TCCCAGGCTTTCTCCAGTCAACCCAGGGCACCTCTTCCCACCTGGGCCACCCTAGCATCTAGGTTATGTGCATTTGGTCCACGTGTCCTCCTTCCAGATCAGAAGGAAGAGCCCCACCCTCTAAAGCTCCCGACCAACACTGCCACCCCGTGGTTTTGTGGTCTAGGAAGGCACAGGTATGGGGAAACACAAGGAAGGAAATTGCCACTTTTCAAGGCCTGCTCTCCAATCCACCACTGCATTAGGGACTTTCCAACATCCCTGTGAGGCAGGCATCATTGTCCGTTTTCTGATAAGGACACAGGGATGGAAGGTCACATAGCCCACACGTGTCGGAGCTGGAATTCAAACTCAAGTCTGACACAAGAGGCCACTATTCCTGCTACAGACACTGCCTGAGCATTGGATGGTCTCTCTTCATCCTGGCCATATCTTCTCCCCTGTCAGTGGGGAAATCTGTATAACTCCACCTGCCCTCTCACCTTCACCTCTGTGGGAGATAAGCTCAACACCTTCCTGATCTGCAAGGCAGAAGGCAAGGCCTTCCTTGGATTTCTATAAGCAGTAGCTGGGACTCCAGCAACTTACCTCTTTATAGACCGGGTTGGATGGGCAAGACTTTGCTCCTGAAAGAACCAAGTTTGTGAGTGCTACACTGGGTGCTTTGCAATCTAATGCTGCTTTAAAAATTATATATAATTGATTTCAGAGAGGAAGGAAGAGAGAGACAGAAACATCAATGATGATAATCATCAATTGGCTGCCTCTTGCATGTCCCCTACTGGGCATCAAGCCTGCAACTCAGGCGTGTGCCCTGACCAGGAATCAAACTGTGACCTCCTGCTTCATCCCCTGCTATCTGAAGTACTCAACCACTGAGCCACATGGGCCAGGCTCTAATGCTGCTTTTAAGAAAAGAGCCTTAGGATCAGTCTCCAGGTGGGCTTGGGACACTGCAGCTGCCTGGTCTGAGTGGGTGTCCTGAGGGATCCTGCTTACTCCCTCTCTGGAGAGTAGATCCTTTCCCATCAAGCCTCCCCTCTGTAGCATCTCCCCAACACCTGGTGCTGAGGAGACATAGGAAAGCAGGATGCCTGCGTTTTTACCACCCCAGCCACTGCACAGGCATCAAGGCCCTTACATTCATTCTCACATGGAAGCCTTCAGATAGCAGGGGTTGTGTCCGACAGGATACCTTCCTGTCCCTTTGCACTCTGAGCCCAGAGCGCCACCTGACTCTCTCTGATTTGTAAGCAAGGGGAGAGCAATGACATGTGCAAAGGCCCAGAAATTTTAAAGTGCGTGTGTGTATGAGAATCACTGGTATCTGGGGGGACACAGGAGACATAGTACAGGATGGCAGATGTGGATGAAGAAGTCACAAAGGTCAGAACCTGAAGGGCCGGTGCCTTGACAGGTTTTTTGTGTTGTTGTTTTTTATTTTATTGATATTTTACAGAGAGGAAGGGAGAGGAATAGAGAGTTAGAAACATCGATCAGCTGCCTCCTGCACACCCCCTACTGGGGATGTGCCTGCAACCAAGGTACATGCCCTTGATTGGAATCGAACCTGGGACCCTTCAGTCCGCAGGCCGAGCCAAACCGGTTAGGGCCTTGACAGGTTTTTAAAGCAGCTAGTAACCTGGGCAAGTATATGTTCATGAAAGTCAGACATGAAGGTCAGACCTAAGGGAGGAACGTGGGGTTCTGGCTGTTAGTATGGGTGAGAGGTGGTAGAGCCCTGCTTATCACAGAGCAGAGCACAGATGCAAAAAATACCTGGGAGTAAGAACTGGTCGTACCCGCCGACCATCTGCATTACGCATGGTAGGCGAGAGAAGGGAAACAGTTGAAAATGCAAGATTCCCGGCTGGGTGCACAGTGATTCCGTTAACCTTGAAAGAGAATCTGGGAGGATAATGAGGTTAGAGGTAGAAGGAGAAAAAATTAAGAGTTCATTTTTAGACCTGGTGAAATGTGAGGCGCCTGCGGGACACACAGTGGAAGTGGAGGTGTCCAGTAGCAATTGGATATATGGATATGGAGCTCGAGAGGCAGGTCTGAGCCAACAATATAGATTTGAAAGTCATCAGTAATGGAGGCATTGGGAATTCTCTTGCAGATCAAATGCTCACCACCTCACCTATGTTTGGGAAATCCAGACTTTTACCCATCAGTTTCGTTTTAATCAAGGAAGAGCCCCAGGGCGTGATGGATGCCGAATGCCTTGGCCCCCAAACTCCTCCGCCCCCTGCCCCAGGTGCTGGCCCGCCCCCTGCCCCAGGTGCTGGCCGCAAGCACATAGCGTGTGCCCTGTAGGGAAGAAGACCCACATGGCCCCAGCATTCCCCGGGTGCTTTCCAATGACTCAGAAGGACTCTGGTTCTCCAGGTTTGCATTCCCGCAGCTGGTAGCTGGCTTAGAAGAGATCAGGCTGGTGTCTCTACACCCCAAACTACCTCTTCAACATGTGTCATCATGCCAAGATCATAACACTTTCTCATGATTTTTTTTAAGTCTTCCTTCCCTGCACAGTATAAGCTGGCTTACGCTTCTGAGCAGCTCCGTGCCCATGACCATGTCCCTGACCCTGACCCTGAAGCGTGGGCAGGGGATACTAAACGACTTGCCAGCAGGAGGAAGCTGCCCCATGGAACCTGCCAACACCCCTGCCTACTCACAATATAATCCCTACATGCTACCTGCAAGACGAAAATATTTTTAGTCTTTCCAGAAAGATTTCACTTCACAGTTTTTCTGAAAGGTTGTAATTAACTGCAGTGAGCAAAAGAATGCATTTTTAAAAATAAAAGTGGGGGAAGGAGAGTGAACCAATCACCACAGGTTTGTCAATTGCTTTTAGTAGGTGGGTTCCTGCCATCCAGGTGGCTGGGGGAGGGGGGAAGGGGCCAGCTGAGCTCATTCCAAGTGGATCGAAAGAGAGCCAGCCAGGTGCTCAAGCTTGTTGAGAGCAAATTCCTTCCAACAGAGGCTCCTGCAGGGACATGGGAGCAGCCCCTTCCCCGGTCCTCATTGCCCAGGGTCCATCTTGCAGAGTCCAGGAGGCCCGGGGACCTGAGACACTGCCAGGATCGAGTGGGAGAGCCAAGACTGAGTATTGCTTATTTTTAGCATCCCAGAGACAGAAAAGCTGTGGGCCACGGTTCCTCATGCCAGTGCTTTTCTCTCCAAATTGTCCCGCCTTCCCCCCACACTCGCGCCAGCACTCAGAGATGCCTGTGTGCCCCTCCACTCTCCCTCCATTGATTCATTTCATGAATCTTGTTGGTTTTATTCATAAGGTGGGATGTTTTATTCCCATGAAAGGGAGTCAGAGCCATAGACAAGGTGACTTAGGTGAAATGAGTCCCCGGATGAGATGAGTTCAGGGCCTGGGCTGACCAGGAAGGAAGGAGGCTGCACCATATAAGGCCTGCAGGCGATGGCGGGGGAGGGGAGGCCGTCAGGAGGTCAGAGTGATCTCAGGTCCTGGCTGTGCAGCCCAATTACTGAGATCTCAGGCAGTGAGGGAGGAGGGATGGTGGTGGTCCCATCCCCAACATCTCTTCTCAGTCCACAGTCACCTGGGGACTCATGTTTGAATTGGTGGCAGAACTCACAGTGCCCGTATCACAGGAAGAGAGCGGGGCCCCTTAGGGAAGGCGGGAGGTGGAAGAGTTTCCAGAGCCTTCAACAGCATTTTCACCTGCACTCACCTGTCATCTGTGCCCGGACTCATCTGCCCACTGGACACCCCACCAGCAAGTAAGGGCATAAGGGCAAGCTCCCCAGAGGGACCTAAGGACAGAAGGGACCAAGGCTGCAGCTCTCTGCCCAGAGGCCTCATCTGGGAGAGTCTGGTGGACTCTTGGCCTTGACCAACCCTCTCCCTCTCTCCCCACCTTGCCTTTCCTGTGGTCATGGAAGGAGCCCTGGACTTCCTTACAACTGTGCATATAGGTTGTATAAGCATCTTAGACTAAGATACCCAAGTCCCCTTCCAGTTCTGAAATTGCGTGTTGCTGCTTAGGACTGGGTTCTGGTCTGATGTCCTTCAGCTTCGGATGACTGTGTCCCACGGTGTGAACATATCCCTGGCATCCGTGGGATCTCTAAGAGCTGCATTCTTCCTGAGCCTGATCTCTCCCTAGACAGAAGTTTACGCCTTGGGAGAGCCTGATTCTGCTGTTCCCTTCCCTGTTGGGCCAGAGCAAAATGAGACAGTCATCATGTGGTGACTGGATTAAGAAATGAATCCATAAATAATCCTTACTCACAGGAAGCCAGCAAAATTTGGGAAATCCTAAAGTTATTATTATTATGGGGGGGGGGGCTGTAGCATGCTCACAGGATTTTTTTTCCAGAACAATGTAAAACACCCTCCCATCTTCGGTCATCCCTCTGCAGCTACCCTACTTCAGGCTCCTCTGGGATCCCCCAGCTTTGCCTCGAATCCACTGAGTGCCCGGCATCAGCATTGTGTATGGCCTCCTTCATCTCTCCTTTCAACCATACGTTCCTTGAGGGCATATTTCCTGTGCATTCATCACTGTATTCCCACGGAGTCCCGCACACAGGAGTGGCAGTAGCAGCAGCTCACAATTGCAAGGCCTCTTTGGTATAGAGAATGCTCGCAAACACCCTCTGTTTGGTACTTGGGAGCTCCCGGGGCGAGACTGGTAGAGATGACTCTCACAATCAGGCAACTGGTGAATTAGAGACATGTTCAAACAATGGTTTTATTCCTTGAGTCTAGTACTTTCTGGTTTCTGTTTAATAATTGTATGAATGAATGAGTTAATGACCGAACGACCCGAGGAAGTAGTATAAAAATATGGTGCCAGGATCCTAGACAAGCTACAAAGTAGAGAAGACGCTCGCTGTTCACCCAGGTACCAGATGCCCATCCAAGGCCCCGTGCCTCCCTCAGGAAGGCAACAGAGGCTGCTGTGTGTACTCCTGTGGACCGAAGGCTTGCTAATCCCATTTCCCTCCCACAGATTTTGACAGTGTCTGGACCACCCGAAGGAGGGACTCGAGTGACCATCCACGGCGTGAACCTGGGTCTGGACTTCTCTGAGATCGCCCATCACGTGCAGGTGGCTGGGGTGCCCTGCACACCCCTGCCCGGGGAGTACATCATCGCTGAGCAGTGAGTCCGGTCTGCTCTGGCCTGCCCCTTCCCAGGGGAGCTTCTGGGTGGGCGGAGACTCCCCTCCACCCCCCTTTCTCTGGGACTTTTCCAAGCGTCATTTCCCATCTCCCTTCTCCTGAGGACCCAGCCCCCAGAAGTCCACCCAGGGCCCTGTCCTTTCCCACCTCCATTCTCAGAAGGTCATAGTCCATTCTCTTCCCTGTCCCCTGGCTCCTCTGGCATCAGGGATCCCTGTGCAATGCTGCCCCTCTGTTAGTTTTCCCCCTGCCCGCTGGCATGACTGAGTCAGTTCCCGGCCAGCCCAGGCTCCGCCTCTTCCCTGGCCCCTCCCCGCCAGGCCCCATTGGAATGCATTCCGCAAGGTGGGCTGTGGGCAACAATTTGTTTGGCTCATGGGGCTCTGACAGCAGCTTAATCCGAGCAGGGCCTCCGCCGGAGCAAATTCATTTATTTCACTAAGGGAAATGTCAGCTGGAAATTAGAAAATAGGCATGTCGCGGCGGACAGGCGATCGGGGCTCCAGGAGTGACATATGTTCCAATCTGGGTGTTCACTTGGCAGTGGCGGCCACTGTGGAGTTGGTGGGCAGGAGGCGGGCATGAAGCTGGGGTGGGAGGGTATAAGGAGGGGTGCCTCCCCTTCAAAGGAGAAAGGGTGGGGAGCAGCCAGTTCACTCTGCATCATTGGTCACATAAAGTCTGGTCAAGTTGCCCTCGTTCCTCAGAGAACACAGCTCTGCCAGGGGTTCTCAGAGCATGGCTTGGGGATGGGGCTTCTCTCCCTAAGCTTTACCCCCTGCAGCCTCAAGTCTTCCCTCTGACCCCCACCCCCCAGAACCAAGCTTTAGTAGCAACCATAAAAGTAGCATCAGCGACCATAAAAATGGCATCACTTTCTTCTATCAGCACTTGCACAGTCTCACAGATTATTTCATTTTTCATTGGTCGGGACTCTGCGAGGTACATACCGTTATCGTCATTTTACAAAGCAAGAGAGGAGTGAAAACCCGTCCCGTTCGCTCAGAGCACAAGTGGCCAAGGCAGAGCGGGGCCTGGAGTCTTCCCTTCCTGACGAGCGATGGGGTGGACTCGGGGTGAGAGTGACCTGGAAATCTCATGATGCATCACGAAGTGGCTTCCAGGTTCGGGGGCCTTGATCCCAGTGTGGCCCAGGGCTGGGTCAGGGCGAGAGGGTGAACTCCCAGACTCCGAGGCTAGGTGGTACCCCTGCCACAGGGGAGAAGGAGCCTGATCCTTCAACCTGCAGCTCCTTCCTGTGGGATCCTTCCCCGGCAACCTTAGCCCTGCGGGGAGAGCATGTCGGGAAAGGCTGGCAGGGTCTGCAGGAAGAGAGGAGGGAGGGGAAAGGGGCGTGACTTAGTAGCACTTCTGAGCCAGGAGAGGAGGGGACAGCTGTGGGCAGGAGCCAGGCCGGCCTGAGAGATCCTCACAGTCAAGGGCTTTACAGGGGCCAGTGCCCTGCCAGGCGGGGCTAGCCCCTCGGTCTCACTGACCCAAATCCCCGGGGCGTCCAGGCCCTGCCTTGTGCCTCTAGACATGAGCTAAGTCTCCAGCTTGGGGAGATGCCACAGGAAAGGGCTTGGGTGGGTGAGGGGTATGGCTTTGAGGTGAGAAGAGCTTGGGCAGCGGGACATGGATGTGCCATGAGGTTTGGGATGCAAAGGTGTTCTGAGTCCTGGCTGCTCCCCTGCCCAGCCCCGAGACCTTAGCCATCTGTCCGGTCTCCTGACCGTCATCGGCCTCATGGAAACCATGATGCCTGGTGCACGGGTTTTGAGGAAAAATCAATAAGATGAGAACACGGGGACTGTAACGTGCCCTACGAATGTAAGAAAGTTTTATCTATGAAATCAAATGCTCTGCACTCGCTCAGGGCCACGGGGAAGACAGTCCTGATGGGAACTGGAAGGAGCCCGGGAAGGAGAATGGACCAGGGCTCCCTGCCAAGGCTGGTGGTCGCCCTAGAAAACCACCACCACCGCCTCCGGGCACAGGGCAAGCCGCAGGGGTGGGCGCGCCCGGCGCCTCGGCGGGATACAACCCTGGTTTCCAGCCGTGCCAGGCTCCTCACTGCTCTCGAGGTTTCAGAGTTTGTTAACATCATTAAAGCCTCCATCCCGGGCAGGGAGCAGCAGGCACAATCGTTACAGATGTCTGCGAGAGATGGATTTGGCTCGCCGTGCACGGTGCAGAGTCCTGGCTGCGGGCAGGATTAGCAGGCACGGTAATGGCTCACCAGATGCTGGTGCCTGCCATCGATCACTCAGCAATTAGGTTAATGTTGGTTAAAGGGCCCCCTCTTAGTCCTGCGGTCGGCACCCCACAGGACTGCGGGGGCCGGAGGATCCCACCACAGGGCGTTTTCCGGGCAGTGGGACGCAGGTTGAGGCCGCAACGGAGCCGGTCCTGGGACAGGGGCTCTGTGTGATTGGCACTCAGCTCCGGGGCTCAGACCACCTCCCTCCTATGTGCGGCACCTGGATGGATGTTAGATGCCTGTGCCCCCCACCCCAGGTGCACAGTGCTGGGCTGAAAACTATCACCTATGCCAGTTTAAGGGAGGTGGTCGGGTCGGTATGAGGGCACTAGCAGGGGGCCAGGAGTTCAGCTGTTGATGAGCTAGGAGACTTTGGGCAAGTGACTTTGCTCTCTGCTCCTCAAATGTCTCCTCTGGAAAATGGGTATGTAGACATAGATGGTCCCTACAGTCACGTCTGTGGTCCTTAGGATGGCAGAAGGAGTAAAGTGTATCCCCCACGGGGCCTGCTCCTCCCACTATTAGAAAGCTCACTGGTGGCACTAATGTGTCTCCAGAAATCCCTGCCAACCAGGAGGAGTCAAGCCTACGAACTCTGGAGCTAAGTAACGGCTGGACAGTGATTTAGTCCAACTCCTCACTTTATCAGGAGAAAACATGGCCATCTGTTGTCTCCCAATGGCGCGTAGGGAGCCCAGAGCCACCAGGGACACTGGGAGGAGGCAGGGAAGGCAGGCGGCCTCCAGAAATCAAACCACAGGAACTTGGCCCCCTGGTAAGGCCTGGAGGAGGAAGTGGTGCACACACCGCTGCCTGTGGCCATCGACAGCCAGGAAGGCGGGGGCACAGGTAGTTCGCTTTCGGGGCTTTGGGACCCCAGCCTGGTCTTCCCTCCCCCACTCCTCTTCCCACAGCAACCTCAACTCCACCCCAGCATGGCTGCCATGTTGACCCTGGCCCCTTCCCAACAGACACACAGGTCCTTCCATTAATCCCAGAGGCAGTGGAGTGGTCAAAGGCATGAGCTTTGGAGCCGGCTGACGTGGATTTGAATAGGGCGCTGCGGCTAACAGAGCTGTGGCTACAGTGAGTCACCGAGCGAGCCTGAGTTTCATTGTCTATAAAAGGAGCTCATCAGACCCTCCCAGTAGGAGAGGCTGAGGACACGGGATCCTGTCCTACCCGGCACCTGCCACGGTCACCGCTTCGTCCAGGGTAGCTCCTATTACTATGGAGAAACAGAATCTGCTTTGGCCGGACCACATTCCTCATGATAACCCTTCCCACTCCCTGCGGCTGCCCTTCCTTTCTCGAACTGCCCCTGTCCCTGAGCTCAGAGAACAGCTACCTGCAACAGATCCACTCCAGGAGGCAAGCCCTGGCTCCCGGGAAGGAAAAGGACGAGAGTTCGAGGGCACTGAGTTCTTCTACGACGCTGCCTGATTCCTTAGGATTCTCACCTGTTTGAGACCTACCGACCCTTTTCCGCAGCCCACCGCCTCTCTCCCCGCTCACTCGCTGCAGTGGAACCTCATTCCACCGGCGGGAGAGGGTCAGCTGCAGCCCCTGACCCCCCACGTCACCCCTTTCTAGGTGAGGCACTCAGAGCCGACTGCAGCCATTCAGCCGTGGCCACCTGGTCAGTGCCCATCTCCATTCATCCCCTTTCTCCCAGGTGTTTGACATGTGAGGCGTATCTTTTGGGACATGAACCCTGAGGGAAAAAAAAATGTTCTAGAAAGGGCAGAGTGCCCAGAGGTCCTGGCCCTTTGTTAACGCCCTCCAGGCACAGCTGAAGCCGGTCTAGGCTTTGTCTTCTAGAAAGGCCCTGGGGTGGCCCAAGGAGGAATAGATATGCCCATGACCTTCACATATTCTCATGTTTCCTCTTGCCATGATATCAAGCCTGCCATGATTCCTTTCTCCTTTTCTTGAGAATCACTTCGGCACAGATTGTGTGTGTGGGGGGTGTGAGTGAGGGACAAGAAAGCCCTGATTAGAAGAGAGGGAGGAGACATACCTGCCCACTTCTCTTCTGTGCCTCTGGAGCTCCCCATGGTCTGCAGGGTGGCCCGGCCCCACACAGCAGCCGGCGCTAGGGCCCAGGAGGCAGGTTGAGCGTGGTCACTCCACGCAGGTAGCAGCACTGAGATCACCACACACAGTGCCATAAATTAGGCTTCTCCGACGCTCTGCTAATGAGGTTTGAGGAGACAGCTACGTGTAAAATACTAATTGATCATCGCTCTCATCTTTACTCTGGGTTCATAATTAACGTATTCATTCATAGAGAAAGGGACGGGAGAGTAGCCTTCCCTGTGATTCAGTTCTTGCTTGTTGGATCTAATATGCTAAACGTAGCCAGACAGTTATTGCATGTTAAGTAAATATTCACCAGGAGTGAAGTGCTTATTTGGGATTAACTGTGATGGAGGAAATGGAGATCCGCACATGCCGTGTGTGCGAGCATGCGGTGTATTTGTTTAATGCAGGTTTTATTGCATCGGAATGAAATTTCGGTTTAGTTACCTTCCTTCCTAGAGAGGCGGTTGACATAAGCATCGCTCGGTTAAACGCCAATCTTCCCCACCGGGCCAGGATAAGGCTGGGGGTTCGTGCAGGGGGTGGGGGTTGGGGGGTCTTCTACTGACTCCCCACTAAGCAAACCTACCAAGGGTGCCCGGCTGCTCTGAACTCTTAACGTGAGGTTGGGAGGGAAGGAAAATCATTGTCTCTGTCCCCAGGTTCCTTTTTGCTCTGCCTGGGGGGGGGCCCTTTCCCACGCACCCCACGTCTACCATTCCAGGCAAGAGGTCCCCCCAAGAACCCGATTGCTTCAGTCCCTCCAGCCACCCACCATTTCTAATCTGTGGCCAAGGCAACCAGTCTCTGGTTGTGCTTGTTGTAACTTACCTCAGGCCCCAGGGAAGTCATGGGGGGCTGGGGGGTATCGATCTGCACTTCATGAGAGAGAATGCTGCATCCCTCTCCTCTCCAGCTCTCTCTCCTGTTAACGCGAGACCTGACTTCCAACCACCCCGGGGCTGGGTCCCTGCCTCCCCCAGCAGCTTCCCGCGCTCAGCCCTTGATTAAGTGGGAGTCCAGTGCCCGCCACTGTCCTAATGAACTCATCTGCCTCCCAGCCCTTCGCCCGCTGCCACCGGACTCCACTCCTCCCGCTGTGCTCCGGGCTCCTGTTCTGGGCTCTCACTATCTCACCGGATTATCTCTTCTCTTTTGAAAACTCACTGCAGGAAGCAAACCACAATTGAATCAGTTTGGCAAATAGGCCCTCGCTCCCTCTTTCGGGGAGAGTTGCAGTGTTGGCTCGTCACATGGGAAAGAACACTCAATTGGGCAGAACCTCTCTGTTGGGCATTCGGTTTATTTCACAAATAGTGGGCAGCCACCCAGGGGTAGGCACTGCACTAGGCACTGGGTACCACACGCTTGTTCAGAGAATTGGGCATTTTGGAGGCACACAGGGCTTTAGAGATGATCTCATCCAACCTCTCACTCCACAGATGAGAGACTAAAGCCCAGAGAGGGAAAGCTGTTTTCTCAAGGTCACACAGCTCAGATGGGTGAGCAAGCTGCATCTTGGTTGGTTTAGCACTGTTGAAAGGCTGTGAGGAGTCATTCATTGTGACAGTGAGCAGCAGGGGCCGGGATGCCAGCTCTTGCCTGGCTTCTCACCGGAAGGTGTGCTTTCTTCTCAGGATCGTCTGTGAGATGGGCCATGCCCTCGTGGGGACCACGTCTGGGCCCGTGCGCCTGTGCATTGGCGAGTGCAAACCAGAGTTCATGACCAAGTCCCATCAACAGTACACCTTTGTGGTGAGTGTGGGGTTTAGTGCAGGGCTGCAGGCTCCCAGCAAGGGCACACTTCCTTCTGGACTCCTCCACACACCTCCTCCCAAGCCAGGCACCACCGCCAAGAGACCAGAAAAGGGAACTTCGGGCCTCACTTTGCAAGCCTGTCTTTCCGAGTGGGATGGGGGTGTGACTAAGGATTCTGTGAAGACTGGAGCCCACCAGAGCCAAAGGTCAGAGTTCTAAACGTGGCAAAATCAGGCCTTTCTTAGAATTCAGATCTTAGAAAGCACCTCCCAGGCTAGGGAGGGGTGGCCCTTTTCCCTGCCAAGGTAGTATCTTCACGCCTAATTCGGCCTAATGAGGCCAGAGCGCCTGGAGGACCCAATTAAAAAGGTCTAGATTCACCTCAAGCTTTGTTTTCTGCCAAGGATATTGTAAGTAGGAATTTAGTGGGGGCCCTTGAAATCCTGCAGGACCGTGTCTTTGTGCCGCAGGAGTGGGGTGTACAAGCGAGTTGCTCTGTGTGTTGGTGTGGTTACACGCAAGTAAGCACACAATCACACCTGAAACCATCTCTCTGTGCTCAGGCAACAGGTAGCAAAACCACAAAGGCCTCCTTTAAGGTGCCTACTGAATCAATAATTTGCCTCCGGGCCCTTAAGTCCCTATTCTGACACTTACCTACCTGGCTTCATTAAGAAGTATTAGCACCAGCAGGTGGGGGCAAACTAGCCTTGCTGAGAGTTTTGAAAAATCCCTAAACCACAAGATGCTGTTCTCTGCAGCATTTTTACTGCTTGTTGTCGGTTCTCCCGTCTCTGCCTTCCTGTCCCGGCATCTGCACCTTTTTCTTGTATTCTTGTCTCTCGGGCTGGAGAGAACCTCGGCCTATCTGCCTCCAGCCTACCCCATCCTCTACGCAGACAGACGGGGTCTTCTGGGAGAGGCAAGTGCAGAAACACCGGATGCAGGGAGAACTGCGGAATGCCCGAGCAGGGAGGAGCTATAGAGACGCTTTAGCTCACCCTCCTCTCCACAGGGGAGCAAATGAAAGCCCAGGGCGATCCAGAGCCTTGCTTCAGGGCTCATTGCTACTGAGTGGCTAATGGGGACTAGTTCATGCCTGTGTAGTTGCTCAGTTAAATACACTTTCCACTCTGCCCCGCTGCCCTCTGTAGAGGCAGAAGCAAATCCTTCTTGACTCAGGTCGGCTGCCTGATGACATTTCTTCTAAGCTCCAGGCTTAATTTTACAACTTAATGAGCTTACTGAAAAGCCCCAGCCAGCGATGGGCCATCCATCCTCCTGGTGCAGGACAGGGAAGCCATGTCTAACATTCCCTTACAGCCCTCTGCACCAGGGACACTGCCGTGTCCTTCACATGCTTAGGGAGGCATGGACAGATGTGCGTGGCCCTTAATGGAGGACTTTAGCCTCAGAGTGGCCCGATCCAGGCAGGGATGCTTTATCCAGCCCTATCGATTTTGTGCCAAAAAAAAATCAGTACAGGTTCTAGATAGAGAAGCATTTTCAAATTGTTCTCAATTTGTAAACTAATTGATAGATTAGTCAGTGTCACCTCTGCCTTCCCATCAATGTTATGGGCATGAGACTCCCTGGGGAGTTAATTAATTCCAAAGCATGACCTTTCTGTCTTCCCTGGACATGCCCGGAGCCTCTTAGAAAGGGTCTCAGCTCCGGGGGTGGGGGGGGGGGGCGGAGAGAGTGTGTGGGATTCAAAAGGGCAGGAAAAGTACCTCCACTCAGAGCATGGACATGGTTCCTCCTTCTGTCCTTAAGTCTAGCCTGTGTCTGTCCCTTTGCACAAAACCTGAGCTGTGATCACTTCTCTGCTTCCTCCCAAAGAACCCTTCCGTGCTGTCCCTCAACCCCGTCCGCGGCCCAGAGTCCGGAGGCACCATGGTGACCATCACGGGCCGTTATCTTGGAGCTGGGAGCAGCGTGGCTGTGTACCTGGGCAACCAGACCTGCGAGTTCTATGGGTGAGATGCGCTCGAAGGAGCACTGGGAGACTGTCCTTGTGTGGCCTGTGCATGCTCACACATGTGTGCACATGTTCCTGTGCATGTCCACACACATATACACATTTGTGTGCAGGTTCACACATATGGACACACGTTCCTGTGCATGTTCACACATATATATACATTCATGTGCAGGTTCACACATATGCACACACGGGCCTGTGCATGTTCACACATATATACGCATTCGTGTGCAGGTCCACACATATGCACACACGTTCCTGTGCATGTTCACACATATATATACATTCATGTGCAGGTTCACACATATGCACACATGGGCCTGTGCATGTTCACACATATATACACATTTGTGTGCAGGTTCACACATATGCACAAACGTTCCTGTGCATGTTCACACATATATACGCATTCATGTGCAGGTTCACACATATGCACACACGTTCCTGTGCATGTTCACACATATATACGCATTCATGTGCAGGTTCACACATATGCACACACGTTCCTGTGCATGTTCACACATATATACACATTCGTATGCAGGTTCACACATATGGACACACGTTCCTGTGCAGGTTCACACATAATGCACACATGTTCCTGTGCATGTTCACACAAAGGCCTGCCTACCTCCATCCTATGTGCTGCATCCTTGAACCAAACACCATTCTGGTCACATAGCACTAGTCCGTTTACACCTCATGAATCACAGGGCTGGGTACTTCTAAAAATAATGAGAAGTGAGAGCCCTGAGACTGCTGATGAGAAAGGCCACCCGGGAGCTGTCCCGTCACCATCAGGCCACACGTTCATTAGGTCCCCACTGTGGTTACTTGAGAAACATGGACATTGCATGGCTCGGCCCTCAGAAAGCCAGACTCATCCTCAGGACATCTCTTAGGCATAAAAAGTTGAACACCTACTATTTGTCAAATACATTGAATGGGGGTGAGAGAATTCTTAAAGAATCCATGGATGATAACCCAACTTGCCCAGTATTTGATAATCTCCTCCTTGGACCATAAACTCCCTAAGGGCAAGAACTGAGTGTTCACTTTTCTGCATGGTAGGTGCTCAATGAATATTTATTTATTTATGTATGCATTTATATGTTTTAAAATATTTTTATTGATTTCAGAGAGGAAGGAAGAAGGAGAGAGAGAGAAACATCAATGATGAGAGAGAATCATTGATCGGCTGCCTCCTGCATGCCCCACACTGGGGATCGAGCCTGCAACCTGGGCATGTGCCCTGACCAGGAATTGAACCGTGACCTCCTGGTTCATAGGTCGACACTCAACCACTGAGCCATGCCTGCTGGGCTCAATGAATATTTATTAACTGACTGACTAGACCAGGGGTCCTCAAACTACGGCCCGCGGGCCACATGCAAATACAAACTTTGTATTTGTTCCTGTTTTGTTTTTTTACTTCAAAATAAGATATGTGCAGTGTGCATAGGAATTTGTTCACTGTCCCTCCAACGGTCTGAAGGACAGTGAACTAGCCCCCTGTTTAAAAAGTTTGAGGACCCCTGGACTAGACTCTAAGCATCAGTTAAATAGTCATTTTCTAGAAAAATCCAGAAAAGAGAGTGAAGCTCGTGAAGCCCAGCCCCTGCCTCATTCTCTAATCCCCTTCTCCAGCCATGCCCTCCTAATCGAACCAGAGTTGGATGTCAGGGAAAGAGGGTACTGACAAGGGAGGTGTTCCATAGTATACAGTACACGGGACCAAGGACATGTCCTGGCCACACCCTCGGACTGAGGCAAGCCCCTTTTCCAGCAGAGGACACCCCGATTGCCCCCGCCTTTCTTCACAACCCTCCTGCTGTCTCCCCACCAGGCGGTCAATGAATGAGATCGTGTGTGTCTCACCCCCATCGTCCAATGGCCAGAGCTGTGTTCCTGTCTTCGTGAGTGTCGACCGAGCCCGTGTGAACAACAGCCTGAAGTTTGAGTACATAGGGGACCCCCAGGTGCAGAGCATCGAGCCGGAGTGGAGCATCGCCAGGTGAGGCACGGCGTGGAGGAATGCACCGCGTGGCATCAGCCTCTCAGCCCAAGTATGGCTTGTGAGAGGATCCAGGGGTGAGGTGGTAGCCATTTGAATTTTACCTAACCTAGCCTCTGCTTGTTCCCAGTGGCCACACACCCCTGACCATCACAGGCTCCAACCCTGGATGTCATTCAGGAGCCAAGGATCCGAGTCAAGTTTAATGGCAAAGAATCTGTCAATGTGAGTAACCACTGGTCTGCCTGGCCCTCGGCAAACATTGCGTGTATCAGTGTTTTGTAATGTGCTGAGGTCTGTGCTGGGCACTGGACGTAGGAGAAGAAAGGTAGCTCAAGACTGAGCCCAGAATCATGTCCCCAAACGCCTGAGCCTGACAATGATTTTTAAAATTATGGCACTAGAGGCCTGATGCATGTGCAAGAATGGGCCTTCCTTCCCCTGGCTGCCAGCACCGCCTTCACTCTAGCTGGAGCCACTTTTCTGCCTTCCCATGCTGCTCAGAGGCCCTGAGTGGCTGGGGCGGTGTGGAACGCCTGTGTTGTTGCCATGGTGACAATGCAAGCGTCCAGCCACGCCCCTGGCCGCTCAGTGTCTGTGTATGCAAATTAACCACCATCGTTGGTGGGTTAATTTGCATACTCACTCCTGATTGGCTGGTGGGTGTTGCAAAGGTACGGTCAATATGCATCTTTCCCTTTTATTAATGTAGATAGTCATTTCTTGTCAGAAGGTGATATAATGAGTGCATCGACCTAGTGCCTTCTGAGCTTAAGATGCAGCACAAAAGGGCTCTTGCTGTGTGACATGCTCACTCTGAGGTCCGATAAGCAGCAGTGTTGTGGGAGGGTGAAGGAATTCTGACTCCAGATTCAGGTACTTCTGGATCGGAAGCAGGGCACTGCCATTGATTAGCTGAACAACCATGATCAAGTCATCTAACCTCTCTAATCCTCCATCCCCCGTCACTTCATATGATGCTAAGACTTGCGTGCAGATTGGTCACCTGCAGCCATTGGCCCCCACGAGGTTGGCACTTGACAAATGGTAGTCACTGCATGCGAATAAACCCATGCTGGTTGCTAAGATGATCGGGTTGAACATTTTACTTTACTCCTCTGAGCAGAGCCATGTAATTCAATTTCTTTCATTATGGATTTTTTGTGATTTTAAAGAAGTTTTCTATCATAAGGGCAGAATGTCTGATATGTTATAAATATTTTAGTTTGTTCTAGTGGCTCTTCTTGGCCAATATTTTCTGAAACGTTATTGTATTTATAATTATAGTCCAGGAGATGCTGGCACTATGAATTATGGACATTATTTTTCAAATAAATGGCTATCATTACTGCTTTGACCTTCGGGGGATTGACGAGGCTGAGATGCTGATGGGGAGGATGGCTCTATGTCTACCTTCATCTCTGACACATTCCCGGAGTGCTTGAGGCTTCCTTAGGAAACAGAAATGCACTAATGACAGGATGCTAGAAGGCTGGACCTGGAGGCACTCAGGGGTCATCTGGGCCCACCCCCTCATTGTACAGCTGAGGAAACTGAGGCCAGAAAGGAATAATCACTTGCCCCCAACCATGCAGATGACTGGTGGCAGGACCAAACTAGATACCAAATATCTGGACTCTTTTTTTAAAATATATTTTTATTTATTTCAGACAGGAAAGGAGAGGGAGAGATAGAAACATCAATGATGAGAGAGAATCATTGATCAGCTACCTCTTGCACATCCCCCACTGGGGATGAAGCCGGCAACCTGGGCATGTGCCCTGACTGGGAATCGAACCCTGATCTTCTGGTTCATAGGTCGATGCTCAAGCACTGAACTCCTTCATAACTAGACCACATGAGATGCTCCTGAACTTGGCATTCCATCATGCAGGCGTGGGGACACCTTTTACAACCTTCTACACCCCATGATCACAGCTTTTGGGGCTAGAGGAGCACATGTCTCCTTATCCCGGGTGTAGAGTGTGACCCCTGGGTAAAGAATCCGGGCCCCAACTCCACTCCCAGACTGAGACCACTGCCCCATAGCTCACAGACCACCTCCATCTGCCCAACTCCGGGGCCTATGTGGAAAGGAGGAGCGTGAGGGGTAGGAATGGGAATGGCGAGTTCACACTCAGGAAAAATAAAACTCCCCCCAAATTAGGTGCATTTTTAAAATTTAGATTTTATCATTCAGGTATGACAAGGCCAACAGATCAGGAGATGACTGCCATTGGATAGTTTGTTAATACTCAGAGATCCTGCCCTGGCCAGTTTGGTTCAATGGATAGAGCGTCGGCCCGCAGACTGAAGGGTCCTGGGTTCGATTCAGTAAAGGACATGTATCTTGGCTGCAGGCCCAATCCCCAGGGTTGGTCATGGTGCATGCAGGAGGCAACCAATGGATGTGTCTCCCTCACATCGATGTTTCTCTCTCTCTGTCTCTCCCCTTCCCTTCCACTCTCTCTAAAAATCAATGGAAAAATATCCTCAGGTGAGGATTAACAAACAACAACAAAATACTCACAGATCCCAAGAAAAGGGGGGCATGCCATGGGGTGTAGGGGATGGGGAGAGGAAGCCGCAGAGTAAGTTAGGAAGCAGAAGGAGGAAAGACAACTATTTTGGTTTCCACAGGAAGGAACTAGCCAGGCAAGGCAGGCAGGTTTGGGGCCAGTTTGGATCATGATCATTTCAATGGGCTGTGGGGCAGAGGGGCCCTGGTTGTCTGGCACCCAGCCCTGGTAGAGTTAGGGAAGGTGGATAGTTGCCCACAGTGTGGAAGGAGGTGGTTGGGGTGTGGGCTGATGAGCTGTCTGCCTTAGAAAGCACGCTCTAGCAGGCGGCACGCTGTCGATGGTCCCTAGGGATTGGCGAGTCTGGGGAGGGGCAGTCCCTTCAGAGTCAGCAAGGCCCAGATGTGAAAGCATCAGACACAGACAGTACGAGGCACGGTTCACATGGCACAGGGGGAATTTGGGAGAGTGAGGATGTGCCTGATGAGGTCGGCCTCCAAGGCTGACGCTCGGTCCCGGGGAAGCCACTGAAGAGAATCCTGGGCTGGGGCCCTCAGCTTCTGTAGTGACCTGCCTGGGGCCTGCAGGCGGGCAGATGGAGAGGGAGGGCCAGCTCCACAGGGGGAAGCCCGTGAACTCTGCCCTGGGCCTTCCCCTCAGGGTGGTGGGAGAGAAGCGCTGGGCCCCTTAGCCCAGCCTGGGCCCCATGGCAGCCTCAGCCGACTGGGGCCTCTCCTTGCCTTTGGGCCATGAAGCTGCCCCTAGTGAAAAGTGAGAAGGGCCAAAGCCAAGGCCGCAAAACCCCAAGGAATGTCTGGCAAACAAAATGCCGATGCAGCACCGGGCAGGAAGCAAACAGAGGCCGCTTGTTTGGGAGTGATCTGCGTGTTCGCGGAGGAGCCCAGTCTGGGGAACTGGAAAGAGCGGGGAAGAAGGTGGGGTGGGGAGGGAAGAGAGGCACCCTGGCTGCGTGTCTGCCCACAAAGCCCGGGGTTTCAGTCTCCCTGGCTCGACTCTACCCTTAGACTGCACCCCCATTTTCCTCGCGCCAGAGTGTCCCCAGCTGGAACATGAAAAGGACATTGGGCTTCTAAGGGCTGCTGAAGTGTGAGCTGAAAAGGGTGGGGATGGGGACTGACCTCCAAGATGGCAGGAAGCCCTCGGTGAGCTGTTGATTGAAACACAAATGGCCTCTGGGAGCAGAGGGTTAACGCTTGGCCTGGGAGCTCTGACCTCATCTCTGTGCCAGTGGCAGCCTTTTTGCAGTTTCACACACGGCCTTGTTTTCTGAGCATGAAGTCCATGTATGCGTATGTTGGCCAGACACACATGTGCGGACCTGCCAGGACAGTGTGTACTTGAGCAGGCCGAGTTCTCACAGATGCCCTTGGCTGTTGCTGGGACACCGTGGCTCCCAAGACCGAAACTGGCCGGGAGCTAGGAGTCCAGGTTTCTTCCAAAGCCCCACGTGGGTCCCGTAGTGGTTTCTTCATTCCAGCTGCGGCCTCGGGCAGCCCCAGTTCTAAGCCAGAGGAGAGCATGACACACCTCATGCTAAGGAGGGGTCACCCCAGCTAGGATTTTTATTTGGGAGACCAGCATCCACCAATAAAGAAAGGACATTCCAAACTCAGTGTCCATACAAGGATACATTCCCTCTAAGTTAGGGGACTTGGTTGGAAAGGAGAGAGATTCTACGTAGAACATTTAAAGAGTTGAAGACTCCTTATCATGAATCAATGTAGTCAATAAACATTAACTGAACACCTACTATGTGCCAGCAAAGTGCTTATCTCACACTATGTCCGGCTCCACCCCCAGCTCCCCTCCATACTCACACTCACACCCAGCACTGCATCCCACGTTTTCCTCAAACCTTCTATGCTCTCATCCTGGGCTTTTGCTGGGATTTGTTCCCCTCTTCCTCCCTCTCCTTGTCTAGGTAAGTCCCACTCATTCTTCAGATTAAATTTCATTTATTTCTTCCCTGGGGAAGCTTCCATGAGCCGTGTGCACTCACACACATGCCCATGGCCACACACTGACAGTTCCCTGTACCTGGTACCACCCCACCAGGACCTTCCTCATATCCATTCGTCCCCCTCCTGTGTTCTCAGTCCTCTGCCAGGACTGTATCATGCTTGAATCATTCGTCTCCCCCTGTAGACTGTGACTATTCACCAGGTAGCCCCAACTCCTAGCACAGCACCTGCCACAAAGGAGGCACTCAAGCGATGTTGGTGAATGAATGAATGAATGAATAAGGTTAAAATGCAACCGCCCAAAAATTAGTCTCACAGCCCTTTTCTTCAAGGGGTTCACTATCTAATGAAGACAAGCAGTAGCCTAATAGTAATGGCCAAAGCAAGCAGAGGGTGGGAGGGGCCCCGCAGACCCCCGGTCGCTCGCTAGGCGCTTGAATGCTGCTCTCTGGGCCTTGTAGGTGTGTAAAGTTGTGAACAACACCACCCTCACCTGCCTGGCACCCTCTCTGACCACGGACTACCGGCCCGGCCTGGACACTGTGGAACGGCCAGACGAGTTTGGCTTTGTCTTTAACAATGTCCAGTCCTTGCTCATTTACAATGACACCAAGTTCATCTACTACCCCAACCCAACCTTCGAACTACTCAGCCCCACTGGAGTCTTGAATCAGAAGCCAGGATCCCCCATCATTCTGAAGGTAGGAACGTGGGGAGGGCGGGGATGGTAGAGAACATCCTCTCTCTTTGCCTTTTATGTTCTCTTTTCTACACAGGACGGACTCGCAAAGCTGTCCTCTCCCTGTAAAGGGAGCTTATTTGTAGATATGGACCCATCGGGAGATGTACAGGGTGGGGCAATGTAGCTTTACAGTTGTGAGTATGCGGAACACAGAATTTATTCTTGTGTTATTATTATTCTACTAGAGGCCCGGTGCACAAAATTCGTGCACTGGGGAGGGAGCAGTGGGCCTCAGCTGGGCCTGCACCCTCTCGCAGTCCAGGACCCCTCAGGGGATGTCTGCCTGCCGGCTTCTCGCACTCCAGGATTGCTTGCTCCTTACCAGCAGGCTCTTTACCACTCGGCTTCTGGCTGAGCAGTGCTCCCCCTGTGGGAGCGCACTGACCACCAGGGGGCAGCTCCTACATTGAGCGTCTGCCCCCTAGTGGTCAGTGCGCATCATAGCGACTGGTCGTTCTGGTTGTTCCGCCATAATGGTCGCTTAGGCTTTTATTATATAGATTCTTTTCCATACGAACAACTGTCAGCCTACCTTTGCCCCACTCTGTATCTTGCACCTGAGATTCCTGAGAAACACTATGGAGTATTGCTGCTTGTTCTCATGAGCCTTGGGACCCAAAAGGGCTGCCGTGAACTTGAAAGTCACCATTGCCTTTCTTGACCGCTGTTGTGGCCACTGTAATCTGTCCACGTATTTCAGGAAGTCACGTCCCTGGGACAAGTGTTTTGTTAGTCCACCACTTCCATTGATACCCGAGTTGTCCTCCCCAAATTTTCACTTGTTTAGTGTTCTGTCTCCCTTTCCTCTCTCTGACTGTCTTCCTCCTTCTTTCTCTCCTCTGTCCGCTTTCTCTCTTTCTCTCTAAATTGTGGCTGTTTGAAGTCCTCTCAAAACTTACCATGGAGCCACCCACTGGTTTTTGCACTGCTGCCCTTCCCTCCTTAATCTATCCCCTTCACCTTTTTTTGAAAAAGGCAATTAACTTCTGAGCGCATGTGTCAATTATTCCTATTAAGATGACTGTTATCTACAGGGCAAAAACCTCTGCCCTCCTGCCTCTGGGGGCGCCAAACTCAATTACACGGTGCTGATTGGAGAGACCCCGTGTGCCGTCACTGTGTCCGAGACACAGCTCCTCTGCGAGCCCCCCAACCTCACGGGGCAGCACAAGGTCATGGTGAGTGTTCCCTGTTCTTCATATGATGTCCTCCCCTCTTCACCGTACATATGTGATCTGCCCTAACAAAGGCTCTCTCTTCCTTCTAGTCCATATCCCTCTCCACATCCTGCCTTAAAATGGGAAATGGATAGCAGTTGAGAACACAAGAACGGGGGGGAGGGGGACTAGAGAATCAGCAGGATGTTGTTTTGAATACAGACTGCACTGTGTGGTTGTGGTCTCTCGTGTCCTTTCTGAAATGATGGGGATCCGATGGCATGCCCGGGCTCTACAGCGTCTGTGTGTGTGCCATGCGCAGGTTCACGTGGGCGGAATGGTGTTCTCTCCGGGCTCGGTGAGTGTCGTCTCAGACAGCCTGCTGACCCTGCCAGCCATCGTCAGCATCGCGGCGGGCGGCAGCCTCCTCCTCATCATCGTCATCATCGTCCTCATCGCCTACAAGCGGAAGTCTCGAGAAAACGACCTCACGCTGAAGAGGCTCCAGATGCAGATGGACAACCTGGAGTCCCGTGTGGCCCTGGAGTGTAAGGAAGGTGCGTGGAGGCACTCTGTCTTTAGCGAACTGACTACCTCCCTCCTTACCAACAGCGCTCATCTTTACTTCCATCCTCCCCACCCCAGCCATTGTGCTCCACTTTGACCTCCGTTTCCTGTGCCCTCGGGACCAGAGAAGTCCTGGTAATGCCCACAGTGAGGCCCAGGCCTGATCGCATTGTTCTGTCCCCTGCCCTGATGCGTGCCTCAGTCTGGCTGCCTTCATCTCCCTCTCAGGGCCCCAGTCCCCCTCCATCAGAATCATGGCCTCCCGATCCCCCACGTGGGAGTGCCTGGCCCCTTTTGCAGAGGCCCTGGGCACGTGGAAGGGGCAGCAGCAGGGGCAGCAGCAGGAACAGCAGGAGCACCTCACCTGCCTCCCACTCCAGGGTTTGTTTTTCTTCCGTGCAGCAGGCTGAGCGCTCTGAAGCTGCGCTTGTGGTGTCCTTGGCCATGGACGTGTGTGGGAGTGGAGAGTGTGTGTTTTTCCATCTCCGGTCTCCCACGCAACCACAGCCGTGAGGCAATGAGTGTACCTGCCGTCCCCGGGGGCTGAGGACCCAGTGAGCTCTCTGGGTAAACATTTCCATTAGGAATCAAAACATTTCTTCTTTTGCTGCAAACGTCAGGATCAGAAACAAGCCCTCTGCTGGATGAGAGGGAAGAGCTGGGCTGAGCAAAGGTGGTCAGGGGCTCCTCCCGGTGCCAGGGCTGGGGAGGAGGGGAGAGGAGGGTACCAGCAGACAGGCCTGCCGCCAAGGGGGTGCTCCCCTTTCGGTTGAGGGCCAAATGGCCAGGGTGCCCCAAGGCTGGGTTTGGTTTTGTTCTCAGTTTCTCATGTATATGAGTGTGTGTGTGTGAAAATACACATAACACAAATGTTACCATTTTAACCCTCACTGTCTCTATACCCCAGGGCTCTCCCCTCCTCCCGTTCCGTGGCATCAAGTACATTCACGTTGTATAGCCATCACCACCATCCATCTCCAGAACTTTCTCAATCCCAACTAAAACACTGTATTCACTAAGCAATAACCCCTTCTGCTCAGCCCTTGGCAACTGCCATTCTACTTTCTGTCCCATGAGATTGACAACTCTAGGGTCCTCACATAAATGGAATCATATGGTACTTGTCCTTTGGTCCCTGGCTTATTTCACTTAGCCTAATGTCTTCACGATTCATCCATGTTGTAGCACGTGTCAAACTATCATTCCACTTTAAGGCTGAATAATATTCCACTGACTGTATAGACCACATTTTGCTTCTCCATTCATCTTGCACATTTGGGTTATTTCCACCCCGATACTGTGAATAATGCTGCTGTGAACATGAGTGTACAAGTATCTGTTCAAACTCCTGCTTTCAGTTCTTTGGGGTAGATACCTAGGAGCAGAATTGCTGGGTCACATGGTAATTCTATGTTTAATTTTTTAAGGAACTACCGAATTGTTTTTGAAAGTGACAGCACCTATTTGCATTCCTCCCTACAATATGTGACGGTTCCAATATTTCCACATCCTTGCCAACATTTGTGATTTTCCATTTTTTTGTAATAGCCACACTATCTCATGGTGGTTTTGATTTTTACTGTCCCCCAAGCTTCTGCATCTTGATTTATTCTCTTGCTTGAAAAGGAGGGGTCAAAGCTTCCTGTTTTGGTCTTTGCTTGGCCACTCACCTGCTTTCAGCACCTGTAGCATGGCATTCTTCCTTTTTCTTGTCATACGTACAAAGAAAATTAAAAATTCTAGATAAACACCAAAAAGGAAATAACAGAAATCACCCATATTCCCACCACCTAAGAAAGGCAGCCTGGAGAGACCTCATCCCCTCTGGAGATGTACCCCTATAACCTTCCCTTGTCTGTACCCCAGACCCCCCTCCTTCTTCACAAACTTCTTCTCCCACCTTCCCCTTTCTGCTGGGGTTCCCGTCCTGAGCCTCCCTGTCTCTGCTGCCCTTTTGTAGCTTTTGCTGAACTCCAGACAGACATCATTGAGCTGACCAGCGACCTGGACCGCTCAGGAATCCCCTACCTGGACTATCGTACCTATGCCATGCGCGTCCTGTTCCCCGGCATCGAGGACCATCCTGTCCTGCGGGAGCTGGAGGTAACACCGCCTCCCTGGCCCAGCCACACAGTAGGGACGCAGCGCCTGGGTGTCCTAGGACAGGCCGATGGGGCCCGGCAGCTCAGAGAAAAGTGAGGAGGGGAAACAGCTGGTGACAGCATCACCCCAACAGGCACAGTTCCAATCGGGAAGATCACGGCTCTGGGGGGCACCCAGGCTCTGGGGTGACTCCAGGGCGAGGCTCATTGTTTGTCATTTTTAAGTGAATACCTGAATTCCTTAACTACAATTCTGCCTCATTTTCCAACGGATCTAAGGTGGCTTAGGGAAAGATGTAGGATTCTGTGAAGTTTGTTGGTTGGTTTGTCTTATTGAAGATGATAAATCAGGACAGAGATGAAGGGGAGACTAGTAAATGGAGTGGGTTTTGTGGGGTGTCTCCTATCATATCCTTGGGAGAATCAGGTGGATGGCATCTGCACCCAGGGCCCCGCTTGGAGCCCAACCCTCCCAACCCAGGAGAAGGTCAGAGCAGACTGTGGCCTTCAGAGCCGGCCATGCCTACATCCTCTTGGGTGGGGGGCAGACCCTCAGGGAGAGCCGGGCCAGGAGGCCAGGAGCTGTCCGCTGAGGGTGTCCCCGCCCCGCCCACCCCAGGTGCAGGGCAACGGGCAGCAGCATGTGGAGAAGGCGCTGAAGCTCTTCGCCCAGCTCATCAACAACAAGGTCTTCCTGCTGACCTTCATCCGCACCCTGGAGCTGCAGCGCAGCTTCTCCATGCGCGACCGCGGCAACGTGGCCTCGCTCATCATGACCGGCCTGCAGGGCCGCCTGGAGTACGCCACCGACGTGCTCAAGCAGCTGCTCTCCGACCTCATCGACAAGAACCTGGAGAACAAGAACCACCCCAAGCTGCTGCTCCGGAGGTGAGCTGAGGCCAGGCCCGGAGGGCGGCGGGTATGACCAGGGACACCGCCCGTGAGAGCAGGTCCCATAGATGGTACCAGAGGGTTCCTCCCGGAAAGGCCTGTGTGTGCACATCACACAGAACAGAATCCATCTCCCGGGCACTGGGGGTGTCTGCAGCTGCTAAACCCGATGGAGAAGCACAGGCCTTGGCTCGGATCTGGGCTTGAACTCCAGCTCCACCACCGACTGGCTGTGTACACGTGGGCTGGTGACATGGCCTCTGCCGTTTAGTTTCCTCGGGATAAAACAACACTGAGAGCACCTGTTTCACCATCTCTGTCCCTCCCTGCCTGTCCAGAGCTGTGCTGTCCAACATGGTAGCCACCTGTGACCATCCATTACAACGAAACAAAACGTGTCATTCAGCCCCTCCATCACACTAGCCACCTTCCACCAGTGTCGCCACATCCCGGCCAAAGGAGAGCATTTGCATCCAGCAGAAGGCCCCAGTGGACAGCAGCAGGCTAGCGACTTGGTGTGGCCCGTGCCTCCCGGCCCCAGCGTCTTGGACCTGAATCACCAGCATCCACCACATGCCCCCTGCCCCGTTGCCATTCTCCTGGCAGAGGAGAGGGCTGGAGACCTTGGGGCCCATCCCTAGAGCTCACCCTCTGGAGCTCTGGGAAGCAGAGCACAGCTTTGGAAGGCACCACGCCTATGGCGCCGCCTTCCCTTTAGCCTCCTCCGAGCAAGGGCGCAGGCTTCCAGGCCCCACGTGGGGTGAGAAGGGAGAAAGAATGGCTTTGTTATATGACGACTGAGCCTCTATCCTGCCAATCTGAGCATTAGCAACTCTCATTAAGAACCGTTGTATTTAAATTAGAGCTAATCTCAGGCACAATGCAGGAGAGGGTGCTGGGAGGGGCCCGGGAGAGAGCTGCAATTTCTCCCGCATCGGCACTCTCTCCCAGGCCCTGGTCGCTGAGCAGCCTGGCAAAGCCTGGGATTTACTGCAACCGGAGGGTATAATTTGCACCACGTGCGGGGAGTTAAAATGCCCCTCCACGTCCCCATCACTGAGGACCTGTCACAGCTGCTTTGTTCCTTCCCAAGTCCCCAGACCTGCAGCCCAGGATGGGGGCGGGGACGGGTGGTGCTTGCAGAAGCAGGTCCCCCCTCAGTGAAACACGCACACTGCTCTCTACCGAAGGGGCTGGGATCCAAGATCCCCCCTGACCCCAGTGACCCCACCTGGCAGGATACCAGGTGGTATTCTTAGCACTTTACATCTGTTAACTCATTCAACCCTGACAGCGATCCTATGGGATAGATCCGTGGTCGACAAACTGCGGCTCGCGAGCCACATGCGGCTCTTTGGCCCCTTGAGTGTGGCTCTTCCTAAGCCTGAGGAGTACCCTAATTAAGTTAATAACAGTGTACCTACCTATATAGTTTAAGTTTAAAAAATTTGGCTCTCAAAAGAAATTTCAATCATCGTACTGTTGATATTTGGCTCTGTTGACTAATGAGTTTGCCGACCACTGGGATAGATGATGATGATTTAGAGATGGGGAAACCGAACTCAGAGAGGTGAGCTCACTGGCCCAAGGTCGCACGGCCAGTACATGGCAGAGGCAGGATTTGAACCCAGGCAGTCTGACTCTGACTGTTGGAGGGCAGGTACCAGGTACCTTCTGGACGTGTGAACTGGAGTACAGTATTCCGGCATGCAAGCAATCCCAGAGGGACAGGAGGGAGGAGGGAGAACTGGTTCTTTGTAGCCCTGGGGGGTGGGGGACTGGGCACCTTTATCTGCAGGCGGCAGCACCACTCCTTCATCACCGGGAATTGAGGCCCGGAAAGAAGAAATTTCTGTGTGGCCCAAGGTCCCACTGTGGTTACTGGCTGAGTTTGCTAGGACCCAGGTGTCCTGGCTCTCAGCCCTGTGTCCTTCCGTGCCCCCAGCAAACCAGGCCCTGCCCTGAGACCCCTCCTAAAGGTCTGCCCCTGTCCCTCCTCCTTCCCCAGGACAGAGTCAGTGGCTGAGAAGATGCTGACCAACTGGTTTGCCTTCCTCCTGCACAAGTTCCTGAAGGTGAGTGGGAGTGAGACAAGAGCCACAGTTGAGAGCGAGATGGGGGGCCGCTCCTCTGGGCCTGCCCCCGGGGCTGCATGGGGACCGCTCAGGAGCAGGGCCCCACCTGGCCGGGTGGTCGGGAGAGGAGGGAGGAGGCTGGTGCTGCCACACGCCCGCCCCGCCTGTGCCCGCAGGAGTGCGCGGCCGAGCCGCTCTTCATGCTCTACTGCGCCATCAAGCAGCAGATGGAGAAGGGCCCCATCGACGCCATCACGGGCGAGGCCCGCTACTCCCTGAGCGAGGACAAGCTCATCCGCCAGCAGATCGAGTACAAGACCCTGGTGAGGAGGCCTGGAGCTCGGGGGACAGCACCAACCTCCTGCCCTGATCTCTACCTCACCCTCTGGCCACACAGTCAGTCTGAGGGGGTCGATAAAGAGGCCAGGAGACTGACCGGCCTAGGAGCAAGTCCACGTGCACCAAGGGCAGGCAGACCGCCTGGGTGCCTTCTCGCCATCTCAGTTGGTGGGCCCAAAGTGCTCTTGGTGCCTCAGTTTACCCTAGACAACATAGGGTGGAGAAAACATATCACCCACCCTTAGGTATGAGGAAATTGGCATCATGGGAAAGAGCGTGAGTCTGTGGATTCCTGATAGAGAAGCTTCGGGGAAGGGGCCATCTCAGAAGCCAGGACGCCTGGGTCCAGGGTCACAGCAGCCCCCAGCCATCCAGGAGCTAGGAAGTCGAGTCCCGGTTCTCTGAGAAAGGACAGGCGGGCAGAATGGCTCAGGTTGTTGTTGGCAGATGGCAGGGCGGTGAACGAAAGTGAAGCACAGACAGAGAGGCACCCCACGTGCCCAGGAAGGGAGGGGGCCTTGGACAGAGTTACCTCGTCTCCTCCCTCAACTCCCTCCGGCTCCCCCTCTCTGGCCACCTGCAGATCCTGAACTGCGTCAACCCCGACAACGAGAACAGTCCGGAGATCCCAGTGAAGGTGTTGAACTGTGACACCATCACGCAGGTCAAGGAGAAGATCCTCGACGCCATCTACAAGAACGTGCCCTACTCCCAGCGGCCGAGGGCCGTGGACATGGACTTGGGTAGGAGGCCTGGCTTGGAGTGTGGGGCAGGCGGGGGCGGGGGGGGGGGTGGCTTCCAAGGAGGGCATTTGGGCTGTGGCGTGACTGGGTTCTGCCCAGTGAGGGGCAGCCTGAACTATTGCTCAGATGGGGCCACCTTTGGTGAGGCCCACACGTCTGCCCAGCTGTCTGGACCCCATGGAGGCCTAGATGCCTTAGGTGCTACCATTGCACCAGCTCGAGGGAGCTGGGGCTGCAGGTCCCTAGAGAAGGTAGGACTGGGTGATCCTGGCTGGCAGCCCCACCCCCTCACAGTGACCCCTCCACCCAGAGTGGCGTCAAGGCCGGATCGCCAGGGTCGTGCTGCAAGACGAGGACATTACCACCAAGATCGAGGGCGACTGGAAGCGGCTCAACACACTGATGCATTACCAGGTGAGGGGGCGCCTCTCGGTGTGGGAGGCGGCTTTGCTTCAGGACCTTTGTCCCAAATGTCCCCTCCCCTCCAAGGTTGGCTCCTCGGCCCTGAAAAGCCTAAAAGGGGTTTTCTGATCTTTCCTTTTCCCCTTCTCCCGGATCCTAGAGCAGTGACTCTCAGCCACGGCTGCCCATTAGAATTACTGGGGGAACTTATCAAACATGAGCACCAGGCCCACCTGAGAAACTGACTGACTGGCCTGGGGTGAGGCCAGGCATTGCTATCCTGGAGGCCCTGCCTCTGCAGGGAAATTGCATGTTGTAAAATCCGCCTCGAAGGTAACCACTGTAGGTGCCTAATGCAGTTTACGCTTCTCGCGCACAGCAAAGCAGGAAATTGGATAGACTTGTCTTCAGGTCTTCCGTTCTGCCACTTGCTCGCTAACGTCCTTGGGGAAATGATTGAAGCTCTCGTTCTCCTTATCTGTAAAATAGGGTTAATGGTGATCCCTGCCCCTTAAAGTCCTGTGGAATAGGTTAAATGCAGCAGGTAAAGTGTTAGCACACTGGCAGAACTCAACTGCCTGTTGAATGAACAATAATAAAAAAAATCCCCAAATCCCAGCCCTCGCCGGTTTGGTTCAGTGGATAGAGCGTTAGCTTATGGACTGAAGGGTCCAGGGTTCGATTCTAGTCAAGGGCATGTACCTCAGTTGCAGGCTGGATCCCAGGTCCTGGTCAGGGCGAGTGCGAGAGGCAACCAACTGATGTTTCTTTCACATCGATGTTTCTCTCTCTCTGTCCCTACTCCTCTCTTCCACTCTCTCTAAAAAAATCAATGGAAAAATATCCTCGGGTGAGGATTAACAACAATGACAAAAAAAACCACAATTTTAAAGAAAGAAAATATAATTTAAAAAAAATGCCAGCAAAAGAAGAAAAGATCCAGGAGGTATCCCCTCCTCCTTCCCCTCCCATGGTAACCACTCCGGGCTCGGGCCCTGTAAGAGTAAGCACAGGTAGGCAGGTGGGGATTCAGGAAAAATTATAAAATAGAAGCTGAAAATGAGAGACATCAAGGGAAATTAAACCAACCAGAGGAAGTGCCTGAGGCTGCAAGGCCCGCTGGGACTGCCTGACTAATAATATCCTCCTATGCCCGCGCCTCACACGGGAGGGTGCCAGGGGCTGGCAGGCTCGGCTCTGAGGCACCGAGTTGCCAATGACCAGGAGATCGGGGACCTTCACAGCCACAGGAGTTGACTGGGTGGCTCCAGGGGCCCTGGGGAACCCCTGAGCCACTCCTCTCCAAGCTGCACCCCCAATGGGCCTTCATCCCCGCCCCAGATAGGAGGAGTGTGCTGTAGTGGGAGGAGAAAGGGCTTTGCGACCTGTATTTATTGAAATCCCTGCTTCCCCACTCACCAGTGGTGTGACTTTAATCTCTCCAAAACTCGGGCTTCTCATCTGTGTGATGAACATAACAACCCAACTGTGAAGGCGGTTGGAAGGATTAGAAACAACAGGTGAGGTGCCCAGGATGCATACTCACATCCACGGAGCCACAAGCATTCGTGTTGATCCCACCCACCCTGGCTTCGCGGTGCTTAATGTATTCTGCAGAACAGTTGTAATGAACCAATTTGAGCTGGAGAAGAAAGTGCCAAACAGAGTAAGCATCCTGCCCCCGAGTTATTAGTGTCTCCAGGGCAGGAGTGAGGCCTCTCTTCTCTGCCCATGATGCCCTAACACTGACTGGGCTGTCGGTCCGATGGCCCTCCATCAGAAGAATGGAATATTCTATTCTTACAGTGCTCGTCACACAAAGCACTTCCAATTCCCTGATGCCATTTATCATTCATGTATTCATTCATTCCTCAAATATTTACTGAGCTTTACTGAGTGTGCAGCACTTCCCACATGCTAGCCCTGAGTGACAGGGGACCACAGGGATGATCCCTCCCTTTGGGGGCCGGAGATGATGCCGCTGCTCATAATAACGGCACTAATGCCAACTCTCACCGAGTGCTCGCGCGGTACCAGGCTCGGCCCGCAGCCTTTAATCTGCACAACAAACCTAGACAAGATGATTATCCCCTTGGACAAAAGAGACCACTGAGGCACGGAGCGGTGAAGTGGCTTTCCCGGAATAATGTAGCCAGGAAGTGGCAGAGCCAAGGTCAGGCCCAGCCAGGTATCCTGACCATGGACTTGCACTGCCTGTTGGCCAAGAGAAAGACTGAGGACAAGTGATTTGGTGACGAGACCTGGAATTGAGTCAAACTGTGCTCATTCGGGGGCATCTGTGACTCTTCCTTTAGGTGACAACAAGCGGTAAACGATAGATAATCTGTCCTTTATAGATAATCTGTCCTTTCTGGGGGTGTAACCTTCTGCCCCCAGGCTTTCAAAGTATCAAGGAGAGTTCCTGAAAGACAGAGTGCAGAGTTCCCCCTGGTTCCAGACCTGGTGCTGATGCTGCAAACTGCTAGAGGTCCTGAGGGCGGCTCGGCTGGGCATCAGGGAGCTTGGCACCTCTCAGGCCTGTGCCCAGGCAGGACCCTACAGCTTTAGGCCATCAGGTCAAAGATTGCCCTCTAGTTACCCTCCCCGGAGTCAAAGGTCCTTGGAGCTCCCAGGGCAGAAAATCTGCATAATCTTAATTAACAGAGAGATGTTAACATCTTCCTGGGCTCCTGCAGATTTATGGGGAGGGTAAAATTAAACACCACCACTAAAACCAGCTATCGGGGAATCTCGTTAGCGCTAATGTTCATTTATAGTTCGACTTCCCAACATCTAATTCTTTTTTGGTGGGAGAGAAGGACTGACAATTTAAGACCCAGAAAGATGGTTTTATGACTCGTGCAGCTATAAATCAAACTTATAAAGTTCATAAAAATTGTTAAAATAAAAAATGGTTTAATAGGAATGTTTTATGGCCCATAACATTATTATAGCTATTTTATTCCCTCTGCGTTAGGGGTTTAATTGGATCATCACAATTCCGGGGATTCTCCGTTTTTATTGGATGGAGGGTAATCTTAAATCACAATGGCCCCAAATGTCTTCAATATGGCTCCTCATTTATCAGCCCTTGCCCTCCAGGCTGGGTGCTGCGCTGGGCACCCTCGCAGAGAACTGGGCAAGACAGCGTCTTTTTCTCTGAGTCGCCAAGAGCAGCCATTCTGTGTGAGGGACTCTTCAAGGTGGCCCAGGCGTTGTAGGACCCGGGCCAGAAAGAAATCCGAGCCAGAAAGGAAAATGGACTTCAGACCAGTGTGACTGGAAATAAAATCCCAATGAGGGTGTAATGAGGAGAACCGGTGCTCTGGGGCCGGCAGACCTGGCTGCAGACGGTGTCTCTCCACGTGCTCAGGGTGTGACCTTGTAGGATGTTGCTTATCCCCTTGATGCTTCGATTCCCTCTTCTGAAAAATGGGAATCACTGTCCGTAACTAACAAGGTTGAAGGGGGCCGGTTCTAGCCCAGCACTGCCCAATAAAAATAGGATGCAAGCCACATTTACATTTTCACTAAAAATACACTGATGAAATGAATGTCAACAATATATCTATTTCACCCAACTGATCTGAAATAATTAGCCTTTCAGCATGCAATAAAAATAAAAATTATCAATGAGATAGTTTTGTATTTTTTTTTATTCATGCTACGTCATTGAAACCCAGTGTATACCAAACACTTACTTATTTATTTATAATCCTCACCTGAGGATATTTTTTCCATTGCTTTTGAGAGAGAGTGGAAGGGAGGCAGGGGGAGAGAGAAACATCGATGTGAGAGAGACACATCGGCTAATTGCCTCCTGCATGTGCCCTGATCCGGAGCAGGGAGCGAACCTGCGACCCTTCCGTGTATGGGCCAACACTCTAACCACTCAGACACACCAGCCAGGGCCTGAACATTCATTTGTAGCACATGTCAGTTCAGGCACCTACAGCGCATCTCGGTTTGAACTAACCGAACTCCCAGGGCTCAGTAGCCACAGGTGGGAGTGCTGCCATGTTGAAGGGCAGGAATCTGCTACTTCTGGGATTCCTGACCTGCTTGCACTCTGCTCCACATCTTCTCCATACCGTGTAGAAGTGCTTGTCTCCTCAGTCTCGCAAGACGCGACAGTCACCCGCACTGTACCTTTCCTACCCTTCTAGGTGTCCGACAGATCGGTGGTGGCTCTGGTCCCCAAACAGACCTCCTCCTACAACATCCCCGCTTCTGCCAGCATCTCCCGGACGTCCATCAGCAGATATGGTGAGGACCGGTCTCCTGTGACCTTCCAGGGACCACTCGCTGTCCCTTCTGACGGCGGGAAGCCCCGGCTGCTGCTGGCCTCCAGTCAAAGGCCTTTGCTCATTAGCCTCCCTCCCTCCCTAGTCCAGTGGTTCCCAGAGCAGCCCACCTCCTCAGAGCTGTGGGAGCAGGTGGCACCCTGTGCCCTTCCTTCGATGGCCCAGGCCTGGTGAAGGAGCTCAAGGGGCACCTGGATGGGGGAGGTTCACGTATCCCAGTCTACGTCTGTTGTCCTGGCGAGAGTAGGAATAGTACCCCGTTTGCTCTCAAAAGGGTCCCAGTTTGGGCAGTCGGTTCACGGTCCTAGCCTGTCCACACTGAGGAGCGTAGGGCCCCCCGTGCCCTCTGGGGATGAGGTTCCGGTGCTGCTCTTATTCTGTTTCCTCTGGATCCACCTGTGCACTGAGGCTTTGGGCTCTCCAGCTGAAGGACACCTCAGGACGGAGGCCAGCAGCTCCAAAGGCCTTGGCCGTTCCGATTCTGGGCCCCATGAACTGCAAAGAGGGAGGATCACAGCTCCCAGCTCCCGAGTATCAGGTTCCTCCAGGCCCTCGCGGAAATATTTGTTTGACATTTTACCTATTGATCATCTTGGCTGGAAGCATCAGGGGCGGGGGACTCCGAAATCCCCAAGGGTCTCTCCAGCTCCCAGAATTCCTAAATCCTCTTTTACACAAAGCTCTCAGGCTGTCCTCTTGCCAACCAAGAATCCCTAACCACTCCCCCAACAGGAGGAGCCAAGAGTCCCCTTCTGATCAAAACTGGTTTCTTCCGAGTGGGTGTGGCAAGCGGGCAGGGGTTCTAGAAGGATTCTTCAGGCAAGGATGGTGCCATCAGCTGCTCACAGGCCCCCACCGCCCCCTTCTCCTCAGACTCCTCCTTCAGGTACACAGGCAGCCCCGACAGTCTGCGGTCCCGGGCCCCCATGATCACCCCAGACCTGGAGAGCGGGGTCAAGGTGTGGCACCTGGTGAAGAACCACGACCACGGAGACCAGAAGGAGGGTGACCGGGGCAGCAAGATGGTGTCGGAGATCTACCTGACCCGGCTGCTGGCCACCAAGGTAACTCCTGCTCTGCTCGGCCCAGGGAGGACATGATGGAGTCTGTCCTTCAAGGGGACCCAGAGGAGGAGCAGGCCCAGGCCTCCCGGCAGGCTTTCCAGGGGACCAGCCACCGCTGTTTTCTTCCCTTTGGCAAAAATCATAGCCCGATTGCTGCTCCTGGCCCACTCCTAGGCCCAGCATCACCCTCCCACATCTGCCCGAACCCTTAGGAACAGACTGTGGTTTTCTTATTGGTGCTGACTGGACAGATATGCCGGCTCTCACCATCGCTGCCTTTTCTGCCCACTTGCTGGCCACAATGGGAGGGAAAGCACGAAGGAAGGCCTGGTCCTGCCAATAATCACAGAGAAAGCTCCTCCCCCCTCCCCAATCCCATCTGCCCCTGTTGGGGGGGTGGGGGCTGCATTGCTGGAAACTGTGATGTGACTCCCCGCTTCCCTCGCAGAGAACTAACAGGCCTGTAAAGTGTGGCCACCACACAGCTACGTAGGCCAGGCAGGGCTAGGTTTCAAATACTCTCCCCACTGGCCCCACAAAAATGCCACTGAAGTTCCAGCACAGTGGCATCCAGGTTCCAGCTCTCAGACCTGCTTCCTGATATGGCACCAAAAAACACCATCCAGCCACATGTCTTTAATTCTGCTTTGCCTAAAAGACTAATGAGAGGCCAACAAAGAGTCACCGAGGTTAGATTGTCCTGGCCGGCAGAGGTATTCCTGGAACCTCGAACTGTGGGACCCAGGCCCAGCCTTGTCCCTCCACAGACACCCTCCAGAGGCCCTGTGGGTCAGGGCTCTGCCGAGAGTTAGATCTGGACCTTTCACTCCAGCCCCAACTCCAGACACCACTTACCCCAGGCCCCTAACATCATAAGCTTTTTCATACCTTCCCATCTATCAGACCCTCTGCCAGGAGGCTCCCAGTCTTCCGGCTGGTTCTTCAAACACCCTCTCCTATCAGCCTGCACCCCCTCCCCCATGGGAAGCCTGGACTCCGAGCTCTCGCTGTCTTCCCTCCTGGCATGGACACTGCATAAATGTGGCCTGTGGCTGCACGCCGCAGAGCTTCTCGGGAATCTGCAGCCCATTTCGTCCCTCCTGCCTCCCCGACATCCCAACAGTCACCTCCCCGCCCCCCACCCCTCCACCGTCTGCTCAGGCTGGAGTCGCAGACAAATTTCCAAGGCGGGATGGGTCCAAGGCACCATCTGCTCTGCCCGCCTGCAGCCTGCTGTCCCCTTTCTCTCCCCTCCGCTTCACCTCATCGTCTCCCCCCACCCCTCCCCCAGGGCACCCTGCAGAAGTTCGTGGACGACCTGTTCGAGACCCTGTTCAGCACTGTGCACCGGGGCAGCGCCCTCCCCCTGGCCATCAAGTACATGTTTGACTTCCTGGATGAGCAGGCGGACAGACACAGCATCCACGACACAGATGTGCGGCACACCTGGAAGAGCAACTGGTAACCCTTGGGCAGCCCTGGGGAGGCTGCGAGCTGTGTGTGGGAGGGGCTGGGGCCAGTGGGGGCCAGGGGGACGGAGGAGCCAGTTCGCGGTGGCTGGTAAGCCCAGGCGCCTTGGGCAAATAGCGCACATATGCTCTGCAGAGCCACCATGGTCCCCCGCTGCCGCCGAGGGGGCCTGCCTGGCTTGGGGCCCGGCGCCAGGACGCACACTTGAGCTCTGCCCTTCCAGGTGGAGACCTTTCCCCGGGAAGCACCTCCTCCCTGACTCTGAGGTGTCTGTTCTCAGGGAAGGGGAGCTGGGGGAACCTACGCAAAGCGCCTCATCTGAGAACTAGCAGCAGAGCCTCAGAGCCCGGGCAGCGCCGGGCACCCTGAGTAGGACAGAGTCGAAGGCACTTCCTGAGATCTGGGAGCCCTGAGTTAAGCTGAGAGCCCCGAGGAAGGTGGCCCACGCTCCGGAGAGAGCTCACACCTGCTGTGGACTTGAGCCCGCGGATCGGGAGGAGGTCCCTGCAAACCTGGTCCCGGAAGGCCAAGTGTTTACCCCGTGGCTGTCAGCAAGCAGCGGGCAGATGTCCTGCAGGCTTGCCCTCTCTTCCCTGGAAGTCACCTCCGCAGCCAGACCCAGCGCGGGAGGCAGCTCCCACAGGCTGCTGGCATGAGACCTCTCTCCCCTGGGTTTGAACCTGAACCAAAACCCAAGCGAAGGGCTGGCTTTCAGGTCCGATCGGGCCTGGCCAGGAGTCAGAGTCAAAACCCTTCCTCCGGGAAAGAGCACAGAGACTAGAGAGGGGAGGTCCAGGCGTGGGGTTGGGCAAGCAGCCCACACAGCTGTCTGGAGTCAGCGATCTCGTCAGAAAACAGAGCCGACACAGATGGGCCCCGGCTGTTATTTGGGAATCCAAAGTCCTAGCAACCAGCAAAACACGTTGGAAATACCCAACTCCGATCTCTTCTGTCCCTTCCTTCTCTGGTGTGTCATGGCCGCTGGGCCCCTCGGAGCCTGCAGCTTTGATCGCAGGGGAGAGAAGTGGAGAGACTCGCGTGCTCGTGGGTGCGGAGCCCGCGGGGCACTTCACCGGGGCAGGCCCTTTGCCTGTGTCCCCAGGGGCAGGGCCATGGATGTCTCCTTTGCGTGAGAGGATCCCAGTCCAGCGCGGGGAGTAGGCAGATTCAGGGAAATCAAAAGAAAAGTCTGGATTCTCCCCATCTCGGTGCCTCCTGTGGCAGGCCAGGCCCAAGTCATAGAAATTCCCTCCCCTGCGGCGGGGGTGGGGAGAGTCCCCTTACCCAGACGCAAACCGCCAACGTCCAAAGAAAGACTATCAGGAGGTCCCCAACGCTGCTGGCGGAGGGAGGGGGGAAGACATGGATCACCTCTCAGTGAGGGCAGCTCCTCCCAGGTTATGGGAAGCCAGGTCACCATCATCCTCATGACTATTTTTTTATTTTAAATAGACTTTTATTGATTTCAGAGAGAGGAAAGGATGGGGAGAGAGATAGAAACATCAATGATGAGAAAGAATCATTGCTCAGCTGCCTCCTGCACACCCCCTACTGGGGATGGAGCCCGAAACCTGGGCATGTGCCCTGACCGGGAATCGAACCGATGTTCAACCACTGAGCCACACCAGCCAGGCTAATTACCAGTTATTTTGGAAGATAAGCAGAAAACCTAAAGGAAGGGCTTGGAGTGGGCAAGGCAAATCTTTCCCAAGACTTGACAGGACTAAGATATTCGGGAAAGTTTGGGGTCCATCGGAGTCAAGAGAAGAGGAAAGACAGGAGAGGAGAGGTAGGCTGGGTGGCTGGACCATCACCTCGAGCCCGAGGGACAAGCCAGAGGACAGAGCTCACTCCACAGAGGAGCCAAAAGAGTTAAGGCCCCGGGGGCAGCTGGAGCAGAAGGCAGAGCTGGGAAAGGCAGGAAAAAACAGCAGCTGTTCCGGGTTTGAAGGGGACTAAACGGGCTTACCCTCCTCCTGGCCTGAGGAGCGGAGAGAATGCATTCTGCTCCGATGATGAATTCCCACTTTGCCAAAGGGACCCTCCTAAGGACTGACGGGTTCCTCTTGGGGTGGGAAAAACGGAGCTACAGCGGGTCCTTTCCACGCCAACAATGGCCTCCTCTGCTCCCTGTGCCCCTGCCCGAGACACAGGAAAGCCCTGGGGGAAGGCCTGGGGAGAGTCCTGAAAGACTGCCCCCGGGGAGCCCATTCCTCAGCCCACGCAGCCGGGGCTGCCCTGGGAAGCAGCCTGGGCTGGGCGGGGAGCACAGGTGGCGCCCTTTGTGCCCTTTGGAGGCCGTGCCTGGGGCTGCCGCCTTCCGGACAATGGCCATGGGCACTGTGAAGGGACTCGGGGAGCCTGGTGGCTTTGTTTGCAGCCCTGAGAAAGTTGTGCCATTCTCTGTACTTGGGCTGCCCCGGGGCATGGAGGCCCTTGGAAACGGCTGCCAGGAGGGAACAGAACGCCCCTTGCCCACCCCCAGCTGTTAGAGAGCAGGGTCAGCCCCATCAGGGGCCAGTGGCGTCTCTCCGTTTCTCTCTCAGGATCGGGAGCAGCTTGAGCTGAATTTGCAGGCCTGGCTGGACCAGTTTTCTGTCATTCCATTCCTTGCCCTTTGGAGAGAGAACTTGAATTTGGGGGGCAGGGAGGAATATTAGTGGCCGCATCAGGGGTGCGGCCGGCCGAGGTGCAGCCCTCAGGGTCTGCTCCGCCTCTTCCCCCAGCCTCCCTCTGCGCTTCTGGGTGAACGTGATCAAGAACCCCCAGTTCGTGTTTGACATCCACAAAGGCAGCATCACGGACGCCTGCCTCTCCGTGGTGGCCCAGACCTTCATGGACTCTTGCTCCACGTCTGAGCACCGGCTGGGCAAGGACTCCCCGTCCAACAAGCTGCTGTACGCCAAGGACATCCCCAGCTACAAGAGCTGGGTGGAGAGGTCAGTGGCACCGAGGACAGGCCCCTGCCCGCTGCCTGCTCCTGTCCCCACCCTGTGGCTTTCACTGACCCGGCACTCACAACTGTGTGTGGTACCTTTATACCTGCTCCATCCTTGCCCTGGTCTACACTGCCTGCTGGGGGGAGAAAGGGAAGCTTCGTGGCCTTTGAAATCAGGTCAAGGTCGTTATCATCCTAATTGCCATTTATTGAGCACATGCTAAGCACCCAGCACTGTGATAAAGATTTTGTCTGTGCCGTCCCATTAAAATATCCGACAGAGTGGTGAAGTGGGTAGTATCATCATCCCCATTTTACTGATAAGGAAACTGAGGCACAGAGAGGGTGAGTCACTTGCCCAAGGTCAAACAGCTAGCAGGTAGCTGAGCTGAGATTTGAATATAAGGATCCTGCTCAGAGTCTGGGCTTTTCACCACTGGGGGGCACTGCAGCCAGGAGCTCACAGCTAGATGGAACCTGGCCTTAGGGGGCCTCAGATTGAGGCCAGAGGCCAGAGGAAGCCACATCCGGAGAGAAATAAGAAGGCGCTAGTGAATGGGGACTCCTCGTGTTCTCGAGGGGCTCCGGGTCCGGGCGAGCCCCCTCTCAAGGAGGCTGTCCTCTGCACGGCAGATACTATGCAGACATCGCCAAGCTGCCCGCCATCAGCGACCAGGACATGAACGCCTACCTCGCCGAGCAGTCCCGCCTGCACGCTGTGGAGTTCCACATGCTGAGTGCCCTCAATGAGATCTACTCCTACGTCAGCAAGTACAGCGAGGAGGTAAGACAGGGCCCCGGGGCACAGACACCCACACGCAGCAAGCCAGGCGGTTAGACAAACGCCTGTGCTCGTCCTGAAATAGCAGCATCAGAGGGTCATTTAGAAAACACATCCGTGGAGGCAAAAACCCCTGCGCTCCAAAATCCCCCCCATCCTTCCAAAGGCAGCCCCGACTCACCCAGCACGTCCTTACACATCGCCTCGTCTTTCACTCGTCGTCACGCAATAAATAACACTTTTAGTAATGTTGTTGTTTTCCAGTGGAAAGTGTTGTGCGGTTAATTTCATTCTTCCTTAAACAATGAATCGGTGCGCACTTGGGCACAGCCCGCCAGTTACATTTCAGAGACGCAGGTGGACCTTCACCTGAGTGGCAGTTCCCCGGGACAGCTTCGGGGAGCTCACCTGTCACACATGAGCATTGTGCCTGAAAGGGGTGTCAGTGATGATAATGATGATAATAACAATAACGAACGCTTGCATCGCACTTCCTGTATGCCAGATGTTCTTTCAAACACCTTAGCTACGCAGCTGCCCCTTAAACATGGTGTGAATTGCACAATCCACTTGCACGTGGATTTTGTTCACTTGACCACAATTCCGCTCACTCGCACCGGTCAAACCCACGTTGTTTGGAGATGAACTATACTTTGGGAATCACCCATGCAGAGGGTTGACTGTAATTATACGAGAATCTTCTATCTGGGAGGTCAGCACCCCTAATCCCTGTGCTGTCCAGGGTCCCTATAGACATATATGCATACATAACATATACTATATACACATACATATATACACATGCATACATAATATATACATATGTACACACATATATAAATGCATATATACAGACATAGTCAGTTAAGCATATACATTACTTAAGGTTATGCTCATTAGGGCAGAAGGGAAAGGCAGATAGAAGGATGGAAGATTCGGAAATGGCGTCTGCTCTCCTGAGTCCTGAAGTCTCCCCGCCTTTGCTTTGTTCCTCAGCTCATCGGGGCGCTGGAGCAGGACGAGCAGGCCCGGCGCCAGCGGCTGGCCTACAAGGTGGAACAGCTCATAAATGCTATGTCCATCGAGAGCTGAGAGACGGAGCCTCCCGTTCCTGGGCAGAGGGACCCGTGAACGCTGTGACACTGGGCGTCTCGGAAGAAAGGACAAGTGAAGGGGATCGGACCCCAGAGCTTGCTGTCCCCCGAGACCCCATCCCGGGGAGAGGGGAGCCACGCCAGCCAAGTCTCCTCGCAGGCCAGGCGGATCCTGCAGGGAGAGACCATGGGCGTCGTCCACCCCAGGGCGCACAGGAGAGGAGCAGGGCCGCGGAGGAGGCGGCTCTTCAAGCCGAGAGGCGCCAGCTGGACACGGTTCCGCCTCTGTGACTGCTGCTTTGCATGAAAACTCATTTGATGTATATTGGGGAAATAATGAGAACTTTATTTAATTTTTTTTAAGAAAAAGGAAAACCAGAAATAAAACAAAACAAAACACTTCCCTGTTAATCCCGTCCAACTTTTGTTGAATTCTGGGTTCTATCCCCCCTTTCTTCTCTTGTTCCCTGCCCTCCTTCCTTATCTAACTCCTGTCTCCAAATGCCAGGAAAAAAAAACCCACACCTACAGAGATGCTGAGAGAAATCGGAGGGGAAATTGTTTCTTTTCCCTTGGCATTAAAAAAAAAGGAGGAGAAGAAGAATGAGCACAAGTCTGCACCAAACACTTTGCAAAACTAGAGGCCAGTAAAACCTGGAATTATCTCGGCAGCCAGAGAGCGTGGGAACTACAGAACTTTGCGCCAATTGCAAAGCCGGGGAGCAGCTCAGCCTGGCGGATGGGGAATTGAGCTTTACAGACCACACACCTGTATAGTCTCATCTCTCGAGAGATGTGTCTCTAGAGTACCAATGCTTTTTGCTACTGTTTTTTTTTGTTTACTTGTTTTGTGTGTGTGTCTCTGTGTGTGTGTGTTTTATTTAATCCCAAACCTCAACAAAGGAGGAGCTGATCTTTGGTACCTTTCCCTTCGGTTTCCCCAAAGTTCCTAGCGGAAGTGGGGGAGAGGTAGGCCTCTCTCAGACCAAATGACTGGCCTCCCTGAGGACATGTGCAGCTCCGCCTTCACATCAGTCACTGTCCTGAACCAGGCACCCTGGGGAGAGGGCCTGGAGGCAGGGGGCCAGGCCTCCAGGAGGTTCCTTGTGGGGGCATGAGTGTTTGGCTTTGGATTCCATTCCAATCCGCTGGTGGTTTTCACTGTTAGAGAGAAAACAAGAGTCAAACATCCAACCATGTTTACAGCAAGCAGTACCTGCAGAGCATCGGTTACCGAAGCCGCGGGCTTTCCTGTTCTGCTTTGTTTCTTTCATTCTCTTGTGCCTGGCGAGGGGAGACAACCCTTCGCTCACATGTGGATGCTCCTGACGGCGCACTTCCTGGGGAGAAAAGACTGTCGATCCCCACATGACTTCTGCCTCTCTTGTCCTTACGAGTTGGAAGGACACGTGGGCGGTTTCTCGCTGGGCTCCTTTCCTGCTCTCTCCTGCTGGCACCTAAAACCATGATGACCAGCTCTCCTGAGTGCAGTTTCCAAGCAGAGAGACCCACGCGCCACGCCCCGGTCCAGAGGACTCTCGGGAGCCAGTGGAAGTCACCGAGAGGAAGGCCCTCTGTTGGTGACAAGACCTCGGTGACCGGGACAGCCATCCGGGTTTCCGGGCCTCCCACGTTGGCAAGGATCCAAGCAGAAGGCTCCGACTTCTCTACAGGCAGCACCGAAGTGTGGGGGAAGGAGGACAAGAGAGAGGCAAAGGGATGGGAAGTGGGGGAGGCAGGAGTGGACCAACCTCCCCTTCCCACCTCCTTGTCAAGGGGCTGCAATGCTGGGAAATGGGACCAGCCATCCCCCGAGAGACCAGACCAGAGTCATTTCCTCTGTAATTAACTCTGGGCCCCAGCTTCTCCGTGCCCTGATTTACCTCCAAACAATTCCAATTTCCAGAGGCTCTGCTGACCACACTGGATTCCCAGGAAAGGGCTGGGGGAGGGAGGCCGGAGGGCTGGCTTCCATCGCTGGCGGGTGGCTTTGGATTGCTGAGCTAACCACACAGCAGACATCCCCTGCTCTCAGCTCCAGTTTCTTGTCTGAATGCAGCTGACAAATGGGAAGAGAAAAGCATTCAGCGAAATACTCAGGAAACTTGCTTGTTTTCATTCTAATTCCCGACCAGCCATGCCAAGGCCACTTTCTTCTGATAATCCTCTTCTGTTAAAGTTTCTCTGGGCTCTATTAACGGCCTGAAAGAAATACTAATGACTGGCCTTCCGCACTAAGCCAAAGTGTTTACTCCTCACGGCACCCAAAGCTTATCAGCTCAGAGCCCATGATTTATGGAGATGAAAAGAGAGGAGATACGGGCAAGAGGAATGTGAGAAGGAACTCTGTGCTACCCACACACACACACACAAAATTCGGGCTCGCCTCATTTTACTTCTGAGTTCTGCATGCAGGCTTTCTGATCGCACCACTGCTCGAACTGGCACCAGGACTTGGCTCCCCCAAGAAGCAAAAGCAAGTTAGACATCTCCATTGCATCCTAACCATCCCTTACCTCTGGGCATCCACCTGAGCATCTCCCAGCAGCTACTTCTGCTGGCCACTCACCGCCCCCCAGGGTGCTTCCTTGAAGGTTTTTGGAGAGGGTAGAGGATGATGGGAGGTGGGGGGTAGACTGAAGAAAGCAGCCGCAGAGAGAAGAGCCATAGCTGGCAAGAGACTTGGCCCCGTTTCTCATCGGGACTCCGTGAGAGTTGGGGAAGTTGGGTTGGCGAGGGAAGTGGCATCCCTGAGAAAGAAATTAAGGAAAAGGAAACGTCGGTCGGACTCAAGCCAGGCTAGGAGGGCAAGTGGTTGTAGAGCCTTGCCCCCTCTCTGGCTGCTCACCTCGTCCTCCTCCACCAGCTCTTGACCTTGGATCACCAAGAACCAGAGGAGTCCACCCTGTGGAACAGGGAGGAGAGGCAGTCGGTTGGCCTCCCTCCTCACTGTTACCCAGTTCAATGACGGTTTGACCTTGAGTGAAGAATACGTATGAAAAGCACGGCCTCTCCCCCACATGAAGCCATCGACCTTGGCGGGAGGCCAGGAAGGAGGTGTCTCTGGAAAGGCAGTCCGGCTTGTGTTTTATTGATCTGCACAGGAGACGATCCCCTGGAAAAGGAACAGGACCCCAGAAAGGTGTTGGGCAACACGGAGATGTACAAGATGTCCATCATGGTGGAGCCAGTCACTCCAGCGGGCCTGCTGCTTCCCACCCTCAGCCTGGTGTCGACTCCTGCTCTGCCATCCCCCCTCCCCCTCCCCACAGCACACCCCTCAGGACCATTTCCCATCCACCACTGGCTAAGAGCACCTCTCTTTGCAAAGCTCGGTCATTGAACTCGTGGATCAGCTGTCAACGGTCACTACAGGGAGGGACCTGTTTTTTTCATTCATTCGTTCATTCAATCAGGGAACCTTCAGACCTGTAACTATTCTCTAGGCATTGGTCTGTGTGCTGAGAAACGGCAACGAACAAGACTCAGAAGGACCTTCTAGCAAGTTTACATTCTCCAGGCTACTGGTTCTTGCCACCAACTTAGCAGGCGCAGTTCTCCTTCCTCGCCTGCAGGGGGCAGGGCTTTTCTAAGCAAGGAGGCTGGAGGAGAGAAGAAAGCCCACCTACCCAGCTGCCTTACCTTATTCTGGGAACATCACTTGGGCAATAGAGCCTCCCTCGTTTCCATTACCACTGTCTCTTGTGGCGACAGTTCCCTGCTCCTCAAGCCCCCGGACTTCCTTCATTTCCACCAAATGAGGACAAGAAACAGCCGTGGAGGCTCCCGGCCCCGCTGCGCATGCAGAAGTAAGGATGGGTGTGACATCTCTGAAAATGGCCCGGGCACAACACCTAGAGAATGCCTGAAAGCCTCGTCCGCTAAATCTCCAGGCGCTTCCCTATCGCCACACCTGCCCCTGTGAACCTGCAGCTGGTAAACACTGAGCCAGCTGCTCTGGGGGAGGCCAGGCTGCAGACAGGAAAGACCTGCAAATGGGGGCCGAGGGGTTCCAACGGTGAGAAAACGCGAGCAGCCGCACAGACACAGGGTCCATGTAGGAGTGGATCCCACAGCGAGACTCGGGGATGGAGTTCAGGGCCTTGGGGAGCCTCAGGAACAAGCTCTGAGAAACTGGCAGCATCCTCCCCCTCGCTCCAACCTCCCTCCTCTCTTCCCTTCTCCTGGTTTCCCCCAGGAGTGAAGTTTTAGCTACTGGGCTCAGCGATGCCACCTAGGAAAGACCAAGTTTCAGTCTGAGACTCAGGAAAGACCTGGGAGAGATCAGCCCACTGCTGGTCACACAGCCCAGCAGCCCAGCAAGGCAACCTGAGACTCTGGCTTCCGTGGACCCCCTCATCCCGCCTCCTCACCTGAAAGAAGCTCCGCCTTCAGATCAGCCCCACCCTTTCCGCAGCTCACCCCACCCCCGTCCCAGCTCAAGGGCGGTCCTCTGGGCTTCAGTCCAGGCCCTGACTTGTTACCCTCCTTCCTGGCATTGCAGATGGAGAGCAAAATGGAAACTAGTGCCCTCCATCCAGAGCAGATGTCCTCAGGTGTGTCTGGGAGGAAGGGACCAGCTCCTTGTACCACGACACTAGGGGCCTGAGCCCACCCGCCTCTGCCCACAACTTCTCCTCCCCAAACCCACTCTTCCTGACACACTGGAATCTGTGTGATAGCTATATTTTTAAGAAAATGCAGCGATCGTTGTCTGGTTTTCTTGTTTTTACAGGTGTTGCGGAATTAAAAAATAAAACTGGAAGGAAATGAAGTATTTAAGATGTTCCAATAAAATAGGTTTTTTGTTATTCTAATATATTATTGTGTACCTATTGTAAATATGAAACACTCCTATTTTGCAAGCCAAGGACGCGATTTGTACTGTTGTTATATATAAATAAAATTTACTGGATTAAAAAATACCTTAACTCTTCAAATTAACTTGATTGTTCAGCAGCATCTACGCAGACGAACTTTTCCCGGCATATTTAAGAAGCGGGATATCACGGGAAGATGAGCTAAGTTGTTTTGAGGGACTTCTAGAATTCTCTCTGGAGCCAGAGCTCATTAATGTCCAGTCATCTCTCTCTCTCTCTCTCTCTCTCTCTCTCTCTCTCTCTCTCTCTCTCTCACACACACACACACACACACACACACACACACACACGCTGCTCTGCTTGTACCAATAGGTGAACACTGCCCTCTAGCCCCAAGACCTCAGAATATAGCTTTTCTTCCAAAAAGGGTGACAGTGCCAGACACTTTGGGTTGTGGCACTTTCCCAGGAGTGAATAAGGCCTCCAAAGAATGAGGCAATCCACCCCTAGCCCTTCCTGAAAATGACATTTACTTATTAGTACATAACACTTATTAAGCATCTACCATGGCCTGGCATTATG